AGACACAGCTAGCATTTATGTTTTTTTCCTTTCATCGATCTAGAAGTGCACTTAATTGTTCTGTTTCAAACAAATTATATTGATATGGCCAGTTTCTCTTTCCATCAGCATGCAGGGCCAGTAAGACCACCACTAGAAGCTGATGATATTCTCTTGAGGGTGGATTTTGTAAGAGAGGTTGATGCTTTGCTTAAAGAGGTTCGGCAAGAACAACGTGAAGAGCAGAATGTAGATGGGTTTGATCCTGAATCTGTTGCAATCAAACTGAAGCAACAGGAGAAGCAAAGAACAATACACAAAGTAGAAGCTCTGCTAGACCTGGCCATTAGTTTGAAATGGTAGCCACATACTTCGTTGTTTTCTGGAAAAGCTCAGGGAAAAGAAAAACAACGAGACCTCCTGTCTTTTGGATTGTGTCTACCTCTAAACCAATGACGTGATAACGAGTACCATAATCAATGAACTTAAAGCACAGCTTGTATCCATAGGTCGATGTAACTATAATGGAAGAATAGTTATATTTGTACTAAATGAAGATTTGTCAAGGGACCTTGTGTTCACAGACATTCATTTGGAGTTTAATATACATGATGGTAGGGATTCTTCCTGAAAATTGAAGCTTTATCTTACCATTTAAATATCCATTTTGAGCCTTGCTACATTATCTACGTTTCCTCTTAATCTCTTGTAAATTTATAGTTCTCAATTAAAAATGAATTGGCTTGCAAAACACCAGGCATGCTCCTGTATAGCTTCTTGGCTTCACTGCTTTCAAATGAAGCAAAAGGTGAGCGCGAAACGGATCTACAGGAACATGCAGTTGTAGCCTGGGGGTTGCCATAATTAGATTTTTTAACGAAAGGTAAAAAGAACTACAAATAATATTTTCATTTAAGGAAACAAAAGGTATGCACTCGCTGTGTTGGAAAGACATCCTTATTTTCTGCATTTCCATCCCATATAAAATTACTCTACAACACACGAGCCCTGATCCTATATTTGCAAATGTTTCCGTGCAGAAGAAAATGAGGAAGAGGGAAGGCCTCAACGATCATGGATGTTGGCTTCAAGTAGTATGCAGCTGTGAGATTTCATTTCACGAGACTGCTAAATGACAGGTTCAGCACCATTTGAGAAGAACCCTGAGAATGGAAGAACTGGATGAACCAAGCGATGCCATGCCATCCCTTCAGGGATTTCAGGTAGAGGGACACTCTGAATGTCCTGCTGCAATGAAAGCAATGAACATGTCACCCTCTAAAAGGGAAGATTCTGAGCTCAATCCGTTCTCTGGTTTGTCAACCTTCAACGTCGTGACAAGGAACTTGCAGGATAGACCCTCCCATCTTGGTGGATTCTGATCAATTCCATGCCATTTAATACTTTCTTCCTTCATAAAGCTCCACTGATCAATTTCATGCCAGTTAGTTCTTTCTTCCTTCATAAAGCTCCTCTTCTGAAGGTCACTTCTCATTCTCAACGAACTAAAAAATGAGATGAACTAAGTAGTTTGAATACCAAAACCCTTTAATAACGCATGCCAATTAAAAGGTTTTCTGTAACCACATGAACTGGAACCACCAGAAGATTGGCCGTATTCAACTCCCATGTTAAGAACAGGAACACCTAGTGAAACAAATAAAACAAAGAGGTATTTACGGATTTGTTTCTAGTCGTTTTTCAAGGATAGTGGTTCTTTTGGGTCATTCTTCTCCACAATTCCAGCTTAATTCTGAAGCTAACTCACTGCCACTGAAACTGACCATGTCAACAACAGGAATGGTGGTTTTAGCCCATCTCTTCCAATGAGGAAAGGTGGTTTCCTGTGGCTCCAGGTCTCTGGGATCCCAACAATCTGGAATGATCTTCGTCTTTGAGAGCAATGGATCCAAGGCTATTGCTTCAACCACGAGAGGAAGAGACAATTATTCACCACCAAACGACCTCAACAAAGATGAGGCATTTATGAAACAAAACCCATCTATGTGAAACTCAGTAACCCAGTGCTGAAGACTCTTAAACCATCCTTTGGACAATAGGATAAATTACAGTCCAAAGCATGTTATGATCCAAATCCGTAGCACTGATAGTGTAATAGTCGGATGATTCATCAGTTCCTTGTAAAGCGCCAGCAGTATGGGTGAAAACAACTTACAGCGAAACTTCTATCCCATTGGCATGCAATTTCCTCACCATCTCTTTTATTGACAAAACGGCAGCCACAGAGCGACTACGTAAAGGTTTGATGGTTAAAAGAAATGACATGGAAAGTACGGCCCCTTTTACTCATCAAATGGAAATGATCGGCTCTAATGGGACATCGTTCACACCAAGATCTTTAAAATGACAACTTCTCAGTCAAACCAGCGAAGGTACCCGCAGCATCACTGGATATCTGACTAGAGCTGTTTTCCGTAAAACGCATCGCATACACCCGATAAACAACTAGTTTCTCCATTACCAAGTTACAGTGTACTGTTTTCCGGTCAGTTGGTTGACCGGAGGTAATGTTGATATTTAATTTATTAATAAAAAATTATTTATTTTTAATAATTATTAAATATTTGATTGATAAATATAATATTTAATTAATAATTTTAGAGTAAAGATAAAGTTTTTTAATAAAAATAATTTACAACTGAAATTATAAAATTATTATAATTATAAAATTTCTATTCTATATATTTATGGATAATGTTATGTTAATATTGTATATTAATTAGACATTTTAAGATTTGTACATGTTATTTTTTTATCTATAAAAATAAATAATTATTTTTATAAATTAAGATATAAATAATATCATTAATATGTAGTTATTTATTAAATAATATTTACACTAAATTAACCTATATAAAAATTTTATGTTGAATAATTACATGAAAATTATATAAACAATTATTAAATTATTTTATATATAAAACATATATTTAGTTATTTATCAAATATTATATTTTGATCTTATTATATATATTCTAATAAAAAATAAAAAATAAATAAATATTAGATATAACAAAAATTATATAAATATATTTAAATAACTATAAAAGAAGTTATCATTCTAAATAAATTTAAAAAATAATTTATTTATTTTTAAATAATATTAATTATAAATTTATCTATAAAGTGAAATAAAATCTGAAATAAATTTTATATTTTATTGAAAATAAATTAAAAATTATTAAAAATAAATAAAATTTAACAAGATAAACACTCTTTAATATCCAGGATGGAATCAATGAAAATTTTAGCATATGGATCCGGAAGAACACGTTCTGCATCGAATTTAGCTCTGTCGCTCTGAAGAGTAGCTCCTTTGCATTGATAACCATAGCTCGTAGAGCGTGTTTGAGAGTGTGGTTTTCAAAATGCTTTTCATTCAAAAAAGTGTACCAATAATATTTTTTTTATTTTTTAAAAATCATTTTTAAAATCAGCATATCAAAATGATTTAAAAATATTAAAAACATATTAGTTTAAAGCAAAAAAAAAAATTCAAATTTTTTCGGAAGAGCCTTTCAAATGCAGTGTCAAACACCCTCGTAAAGGTCCAAGCACTCTCCACTAGGGGTGATCATTTTCGGTTCGGTTTGGTTTTTATAAAAAAAAAGTTACCAAACCGAAAAAAAAAATTGAAAAAAAAACTGAAACCGAACCGAAACCGGGTCAAACTGATCGGTTTCGGGTCGATTTTTTGGGGGAAAAACGGATCAAATTGGTTTGGCTCGATTTTTCTCAGTTTTTCCGGTTTAGCTCAGTTTTGACTCTGTTTTTTTCGGTTTCGGTTCGGTTCGGGTTTTCGGTTATGAAACCGAACCGAACCGGCCTATTTTTTCAAAATTTTAATTGGTTTAATTGGTTTTTTTTTCGATTCGGTTTTTTCGATTATTTTTTTTTCAGTTTTCTCTATTTAATCAGTTTTTCGGTTTTTTTGCTCACCACTACTCTCCAGTGAGGCATGAGCGTGGTGTAAAGTATTTTTTTAATTTAGAAATACATTAATTTTTTAAAAAATATTTTTAATTTTAGTAAATGATATAAAAAATAAAAAAATTATTTTTTAAAAATTTTAAAATTTTTAAGTACATAATTTAAAGCTGTTTCCAAACACCCCTTCAAAATGGATCTAGATCAAGCTCTAGGGCCGGCCCTTGCGATGTACTATCATCATACAAGCAGAGAACGCAACCCGCTGCATTTCCTGAAAAAGAAGAAGAAGCAAGATTCATAGAACCATCAGTACAAAAGGAAACACCCAGAGGAGCAGGATATCCGGGATCAAATCCAACCGGAACACTAAAATTGGCCTTGCTACGGTTCCTGATTTCCGCGCCACTCGATTTGAGTTTGAGCAGAAATTAGCCTGAAACCGAACTCAATAGCAAACCTACGAACAGTCTCCTGTATGAACGGGGTCTTTATGGCCCTGGCATCAGAGGATGGATCAAAAGGCATGAAGCACGACGAATCAGACGTGTATATGCCGCCCCAAATAAGCATCAGTCTAACATTATCACTAGCACCCAATTATATAAGTTGATAATTTCTTCCGTTGGTCAACTGATTTATTGCTTGCTTGAAGTAAACAACATCTGATCAGCAGGCTGAGAAGAAACTCTGGATCTAGCAAAAAAAGACTCTTGAACCTCCCTCCACATCCATCATCCCAAACCCTACTGTGGGCGTGGCTTTTTTTTCTTTTCTTCTGCAGACATAATGAACAGATGCAGATGATTCCATGAGTTACAGAAGCATGATGGGGCTGTTGCAAGTAAGGTAGAGAGCTGCCATGATTAGAAAATAAAACAGAGAAAGAAATAGAGAGGAACATTAATTTATATGAATTATCCATTTTAATGATAAAAATAAAATAAGTTAGGGAATAATTTGTAGTTATCTTTTTAATTTATAAAAAAGTTATAGCGCAAATAAAAAATAAAATATTTTTTTTATATATATAAAAATAATATTGGTAGGTCACGTGTAGATTGCAAACACTGCTCTCCAATGACCAATAAACTCTAAGCTCGACACCACATCCTTCCGCACCAAGCGCACGTTAGCCCACTTTCCCCGTTCTAAATTAAAACCTCCAGTACAGCTGCAAACAATCTACTTTTGAAGCGCACTTTAGCCGCTCCTCTTCCTCACCAAACCCTCTCCCCCACAGACACGAATTAGAAAGAGAAAAAAACTCCCAAATCCGAAGAAATTAGGGTTTCAACATAATTAAATAAATTAAATACACTGAGTTAAACTAGCAACTCGGCCTCTCGCTTTCTGTTTGTGTGTTTCAATGCCTGTTAATTGCTTGGCGAAATCGTGTATTGGAAACCCTAGACAGTGCCAGAGTGGTCCTTTTTGCGGCCGATTTTGGCATATCTAATTTGATTTGAGAGATGGCGCCCAGTCGCAGGAAAGGTGCCGCCGGAAAAGCAGCTGCCGCCGCCGCCGCTCGCCGTCAATGGAAGGTGGGCGATCTCGTCCTTGCCAAAGTCAAAGGCTTTCCTGCTTGGCCTGCCACAGTATGTTTCTCTCTTTATTTTTGGTTGCATGTTACTTTATTTTCGATGCTTTGTTTGCCACTTTTTTTTTTTTTTTTTTTTTTTTGTGTGCCTAAGCTAAGTATTAGCTGCTTATGAAGTGGGGTTGTTGTTGATGCCAGGTAAGCGAGCCGGAGAAGTGGGGCTATCCGAATCCAGTTGATTGGAAGAAAATACTCGTCTATTTCTTCGGAACCCAGCAAATGTGAGTGTAACTACTGCAGATACTCCTTATCCAATATGATCTTTTGATGGCTTTTTTTCTCCTGGGTATGAGGTTTTTTGTAGGGTTATCTATCATCTCGAGTTTGTGGAAGTTGATTTTATGATTTGATATGATTTTGCTTGTATAATTGGTCTAATCTAGTCTCATCTTTTGTTTAATGCAATTTTTTTTTTGTAATTTATAGTCATTTACTAGAGTCGTAGGACAAGGCAAGTTGTTTATCTGGTCTCTTGACTCAATGTACTTAGATATTAAAGGAGACTTAGAAAGGGACAACAAGAATTGTGTTTTATAGTTAGATATTCTTCATCTTGCCTGAATGTCTAATGTGAATTATTTTGTTTTGACTGTCAGCAATGATAAGAAAATATGTGGAAATTTATCTTGTAGGTTTTTCTTGTTTGTCCATATTATAATGTTTATGTAATGATGGCTTGTAACTTTTTCTGTGTTGGGGAACTATTACTTTTGAGTACATATTTTTTTCTTTTCCAAAGGGAGATTGCAATCAGTTGAGCGAATTGACTTAGTATATTTGAAATCATGTGGCGAACAATAGGCCTTTGTAGCATGTTTCATTGTTGATAAAGCTGTTTTTTTCTGGGTGTAGTTGTTGAATTAATTTTAGGTTCTGGTATGAACAAGAACAATGATTTCCTGTATAAACTCTTTGTTTGAGTTGTCATAACCCAGAAGTGACAAATAGTGTTTCCTTGGAAGCTTGCGTGGAGAGTTGAACTCTCTTTATATGAAAAGGGATAATGTTGCCTATAGTTATTCCTTTTCTTTTCTTTTTTTCTTGTTACCATTGAGTAAATTATAAAGGCCATTGTATCAGTCGCTACTTTTATCTGGTAGTTTTTTTTTCTTATATTTGTCAAATATGGTTTTGGGTTTTCCTTTTTCTCTTTTTATTGATAAACAAAACTCTAATAAAAGAGGACCTCAGAATTGAAAAAACAAGAACCTTATTTACATGAAAGTGAATCCACAACTTCTAATATGTAAATGAGCATCTTTAACCCCACAACACAGCCTTTTGCTTTACATGAATGGATCATCCTTTCGGCAAAGGTGATTTGAATGATTGTGCCGAAGCAACTGTTATGTAAATGGTGGTGGTGGTTTGGCTTCTTGTTCATATATATATATATATATATATAATATGCATACATGCTTATAGATATCTACATACGTGTGCCATATCTCCACTTTTCTTCTGATTATTGAAGCTCTTAGTAGGATGCTAGTTAAAGAAATAAGTAAGGTTTTTGATGGTTTTAGCTCAGGCAGAAATGGTTAGTCTGTCTTGGCATCTTGTCCTTTGCTGATGGTACTTTAGTCTTCTTTGAGATGGATCCTACTGCAAGATTACTTTAAAGATCCACTCTTCTATGTTTTGAGATGGTATCTGGGATCAAAATTGATTTGTATAGGTTGAATGGTTCCTACTAGAGGAAAAGTTTTTGACAAATTCTTGACTCGTATCTGGGTTGTAGGATGGAGAATGTTCTAATTTTATCTTTTTGAGCCTACCTTTTGATAGCCAATTGCAAAGACAAGAAAGTGTGGGAACTTGTTCTAGCAAATTCGGGAGAAAGCTTGTGTGGTGGAAAAAGGCATTATATCACTTTAAAGGAGGTTTACTCATAAAGGGTGAACTCTGAAATCTCCCTATTCATTCCTTGTTTTATTTCCATTTTTGTATGCTATTTCTTATGAACTAAAGGATGCTGGAGAAGGGTTTTTGGGAAAACATAGGGGAGAATTTCTTTTGTGATTGTTAATGGACTAGAAGCTTAAGGTGGATGGTTTATTCTACTCTGGGTTTCTATTATGTGGCAGTTCAATTGATCGAAAGTTCATGATTAGATAGGTGGTGTATTTTTAGAAGCAAAAATGATCCATGGGTTGTATACCTTTTGCTCTTTGGGGTTTTTTCATAGGAGTGGAGCGAAAGAGAATTGGATGTGAAAGAAATTACTCTCAAGCCGTTGAAGAGTTTCCCCTGATAATATGGCATGTGGACAACTTTTTGCTAGTGAAGATGAGTCTCAGTTTTAAACCAACTATGATGTGTAATAAATGTACATCATAGTTTCTTTAAATATCTTCCTCCACCAAAATCATAAAGATATAACCACCACTATGATTTAGACAAGCTAGAGTTATTTGGGTACAATTCTGGAGTCTATGAACAGTTATGTCAGCATAATTTAGGGTGTAATGTTAGAGATATAAATAAAGGAAGAGATGGAATCCCATCTAGTGACCCATGGAATCTTGGCTAAGGTTGATTTCGTCACAATGTAAAAACTGAAAAAAATTGATTGCTGGAAAATTATTTGAAAAATATTGGCACATCAAAAGGCTAGATCACTGTATGTAGCACAAAAATTCTCAGTATCCTTCTTTAATGGTCACTCAGTTTCCTAATTCCACAAACCACAGCTATTCCCATGTAACAAGGAAAAAGATGAAGGACAAAAAAACTACTTAGTTAAGGACTCGCAAAATAAATGGTAATGCACAAATGCTAATATTTTTGTTGGCCACTTCAAAATAATAGACATGCAACTCCCATCCATTGAAAAATAGTTATAGGTGTTGAGGAAACAAGTCTCTTTCAATTGATCTCGGTACTACCCTACAAATCCTCAAAATTGAGAAGATATGTTCACGCAGCTCTAGTTTAATTCTAATGCAAAAGCATGTGGCCAACTGATCTAACTACTTTTTGACTAAGAAACATCTATTGATATCCATTTTTAGAGATTATTAATTGTCAAATTCTTTCCCTAAAAAAAAAGTAATATCAGAGAGTATGGCCATCTTTTGAACCTTCATGTTGGTATAAATAGCCTCCAGTTCTGCTCTTATAAGCATCTTATATGAAAATCTATCACAAAACATCCCCTTCTAGATGGCTTTTTAAGAGCTTGATTCCCGCCATCATCTTTACAATTGCATGATGAACAATGTCAAAAGAGAGTAGCAAAAGATTCCATCTCCCAATCTTGCTTGCAGTGGTGAATTATGATGCCAGAGATGATGCCAAAGAGAACGGGATAGCTGTTTTTAACTTTTTTTTTTTTATTTCATACCACTTTCAACATATTAGTCTTAAATCAGGCTTGAAATGCTTCCACCCTTTCTTGTTACTTTTCTTCTCTTAATGAGACTGTCTTAGCTCCTTCAAAATACAGCTGTTGTGAACATCCTCATGTGTGGCTGCATTGAAGTCCAGCAGTTTTGGAGCCATTTCCTCAAATGGAAAATGTGGTTCACCTGTAGGGTTATGAGTAGGGATAAGAACTGCATATCGGTTGATTCCATTGTTAAGGATTGTTGAGCTTGATTTGTGCCCCTGCTTATGATACCCGGTCTATTGGGATGTTTTGGGTCATATTTTCTCTCAGTCATTTGCTGTTGGTTATTGTTCTTTGATTTCTCCAGTTTCTTTTTGGGAGCTTCCTAGTCTAATCGATGTTGTTGGAGACAATCCTTAGAAGGTAGGCTTTCAATGGGGATTTTGCAGTTATCCCCTGTTTAGCTTTCCAACTTTGAGAATGCATAATTCTCTATGTTGTAATCCTTGTTTAAATGGTCTTTCTTCTCTCTTTTAGCTTTTTCCAAGCCTATCATTGCTAATTGATTTTGATAAGTGACAATTGCTAGAATTTTTAATGATGGCTTAGCAGTTATCAGTAAAGTGATTCTATGGCTATTTGGTTTCTAAATGTTCAATAATGTATAATTGCAGATCTCACAATTCTTGTCTAAATGGTCTCTGTTTTTTCATTCCTTTTGCTTTGCGAGGTTTCAGATGGTATGTCTCTCAATAGTCTGTCTGCATCCAGTTTCTTTATTTTTTACATGTTCTATGCTACTTTCAGTTTTTAATCAGAAAAGAGGTATTCCTTGGGATTTCAAAGCACATTGGATGGTGGAGAAAAAAATTATTGGAAAGTTTGTATTTACCTGTTCAAAATAGTGTCTTGAATATCTAAGTTTAAGTTGGGTAACTTTCTAAAATTTCCTTTTCTTATCTTGTGGTTAAAAGTAAGCAGGAGAAATAAACAGAAAGTCAATAGTAATGTTTTCATTTCTTTCTGAATTTGCTGTTCTTGCAGGGGAAGAGCTTTTGTGATGTAGGGCATATTTAGATTACTGTCCTACGAAGGATTTTGGGTGTGCTGGGGGTTGGAGAATTAGGGATTTTAGAGGTGAATTACGGGTTTGATTTATGTGGAATTGGGATTGATCAAGGATATTTTTTGGGTGGAATTGTTCCTTTATTAAAATTCCCATGGTTATGCAGGTAGGTGCTCCTTTTACAAGCACCAAATCCTTGGCTGTCTTAAACTAAATAGGCAAAATAAAACAAGCATGAATAAAAAATCCATATTAACATCCTTGCCCCTAAAGAAACTAAGATTCCCAAATAGAGTAGCTTTACAGGATATATCAAAATATATGTAATCACAGATTGAATAACTTTAATTTCTGAACTTCTTATCTTTGACTGCATCACCTTCAATCCAAATCTAAATACATTGTATAGATTGTATATATGCCTATGAATTAGTTAACATATCAGCATTTAGGTTTTGTGCCATACAATATTGCATTGTGATTGTCTAACTTCCTTCTTGTACTTGAAATACTAATTTATGGATGGCATTTTTTTGATCTTTGAGGTTGCATCTTTCCTTTATGGATGGCATTTTTTTGATCTTTGAGGTTGTATCTTTCCTTTGTGATATTCTTCTTGTTTGGGCTGATTTTAGCTAAATTTGTTATTTCTCCCCCCAAAATGCTGTTCTTAAGAGCTTTTTTAGAATGCAGTTAATTAAGACTTTTTGTTTGGATGAATATGTTGTTAATACAGAGCCTTCTGCAACCCCGCTGATGTTGAACCATTTACTGAAGAGAAGAAACAAACACTGTTGATGAAACGCCAGGGGAGGGGTGCAGATTTTGTTCGTGCAGTGCAAGAAATCATTGATAGTTACGAGAAGTTAAAGAAGCAGGATCGAGTTGATTTGAGCTCCGACGATGGCCCTACTCATGCAAATTGTGGGAATTCATTAGAGTCTTCAAATCACTTTGAGGTGAAGGATCAAAGAGAAACTTCAGAAGCAACTATTACAGGTAGAAATGATCTGAGTCTTCAAATTGATGATGCTTCTGCTGAAGCAAAAATTGGTTCTTTGCATCACAAAGATGCATTATTGGAGCAACCTCCTGATAATGTGGTGATTAGAGAAAAGCCTATAATCACCACCTACACTTCAAGGAAAAGATCTGGAGGTTTACGATCTAGGAAACGTATCATGCAGGAAAAGGCACCTTCAATTGAAAGGTCTAGAAGCTCTTCCCGGTTGGAGTCCAGTAGATTTCAAAACTTCATGATGCCACCAGATGATGGTAATAAGAGTTCAGGAGATATGTCAATTGATTGTATCCAGGACAGATCTTTGCGAAGCACTAGGCAAATCAAGAAATCACCAGATGATTCTGAGTGCGACAATGCAGATTCATCTGCTTTTGTTTCTAATGTCAGCATTGAAGATAATGGTTCTGAAATTATCACAGCTGACTCTGATTCCCTTAGTTTGAATGAAGGTAGCACTCTGGATAGTGGTTCTAGACTCGAGACCTCTGAAACTGCTGTTCACTGTTTGGAGGGAGATATTGAGTTGAGCAGAGGGCTTGATTTCCAAATAAAGGCTGTTGTTATAAGAAAGAAAAGGAAACAAAACAGAAAGCGAGCAACTGATGAAGTGGTTGAGCCAACAGTCAGACTGGAAACAGAGGCAGATGTGGATGTAGGATTGCATGATAATAACCAAAATTCTGAATTTGCATGTAAAAATTTGAATATAACTCAAAGTAAAGAAGATGGAGATGAGCACTTGCCACTAGTGAAACGAGCTAGAGTTAGAATGGGCAAACAATCATTGGAGGAGGAACACAATAATTTTACTCGAGCTGAAGAACAAAGACCAAATGAAGTTGCCTTCAATGCAATGGAGGAAGACAATAGCTTTTTTCAACCTGAAGAAAGAACATCTCTTGAAGCTGGAGTTAATACATTGGAGCCGATTAGCTCTTCCTCAAATTGTGACAGTGATATTCCTGCTCATAGAGATTCATTGGTGGTGAGGGGAATTTTTAGTAATGTCTCAACCTCAAAGAATTGCACTCCAATTCAAGCAGATAAGTCCCAGCTTTTGAGAGTTAAGGAAATCCAATCCTTTTGCAGTTCTGCTGACAGTGAGTCTGCTTTACCTCCATCTAAACGTCTACATCGTGCTTTGGAAGCCATGTCAGCAAATGCTACTGAAGGTCAAGCTTTTATTGAAACATCAACTGTGAAAACATTTATCATTGGTAGTTCCATTTCTTCGATAAGGAGTGCTTCTGATATGGTGGCTGTAAGTAAAGAAAACAGTGATTCAGAAGAGCAGATTGTAGACTCTCCTGGCAACATGGTTTCTTCATTCTCATCTGGCTCCAAGAAAATTTTAGAGGAATCTAATAAATCATCATTGGATGACAAAATTTGCAATGAACCTGGAAGCATCAAGGGTCCAGGGCTTTGCGAAGAGGTCTTTCCAGAGTTTGCAGACCAAGGTGCTGACAAAGATCTCAGTGGATTATGTTTTGAAACTGGCAATACTTGTATTTCTACTCAAGCTCGATCTCCATTGCACTTGATGCCTAATCTTGATAGAAGACAAGCTAGTCTGCTATCCTGTCAGGGTTCATTAGGTCAGTTGTTGCCACAAAAAGATGAAGGCAATTCTGATGACACTGAATTAAAAGACTTCAGGGATGGAAATGCTAGTAAAGAACTTCATACTTCCAAAGATTCTGGGATGAGTCCAAATATTATCTCTCAGGCTGATGATGCCGCTAAAGTTTCCCCTCAAAGTGTTGCAAATCTCCTTCGATTCACTGCAGAGGAAGTTGGTCATGAGGATTCTGAGACTGTTAGGCCTCGAATTGATTCTGACAGTCAAGCTAATGGCATGTAAGTGTTATTTTCTTTTTGGTTCTGTGCTGTCTGTGTTGGTATGCTTTTACCTGTTACATTTTCAGTAAGAACTAGGCATTTTTTACCCTCTATTGAAAAAAGTTCTTTATTCCCTGGTGTTAAGGCATGAGATTCCATCACTGTTCCTTGCCATTTATTTTGTTGTCTATTCATCATTTTTGTGCTTAAGTTTCATAATTTTTCTGTCTTAGTTGTGAGGTGGCAAAAGATGTACACTGTGACCAGCGGGAGAAGGAAGCTAGTCATGTTTCGTTTTCTGAATATCATTTGGATGACAAGGATGAATTGGCTCAGTCAAGTCCGCCTCCAGCTGATAGAGTAGAATGTCCTGCACAAATATTGACACCTAATGCCTCAGTCCACGTGTCTACTTCAGAAAGTGTTAATTTTATTCAAAACAGTGGCTCTTCTAGTCCTAATTCCCTTTCACACCCAAAGAAAATTATGTGCACTTCAGTTTCTGATGAAGATAAAATTGAGTCAGCAGTGCCTCAAAGACCAAAATCAGTTGGGAAATGGAATAATTGTGCAGAAGCACACGCTGCTTTGTCATCCTTTGAAGCAATACTTGGATCCTTAACAAGGACAAAGGAGAGCATTAGTCGAGCAACTCGCATGGCTATTGACTGTGCAAAGTTTGGTGTATCTGCTAAGGTATGATGATGCTTAGCCATGTGATTTAGATTTTTTGTTGTTAGATCATTCTGTGAAGAGATTATGATATGCCAGCTAAATAAAATAAATTTTAGTTTGGATAACATACATGTGGATTTGAGATTTCTTAAAAAGTGAAGGGGGGGGGGGTCGATGCCTGATTTACAGGTTTGATGCCTGATTTACCTTTTTCATTGATTCTTCCAAGAATAAGTCTGTAGATCAGGCGTGGATTTTCCATAGCAGTATGTCTTTGCAAACATTTCTGAAGTCAATATCATGAAATATACAGACACTTGAGTGTTTTTTAACTGGCATTTAGTTAGCATTGACAATGTTTTTACTCGGTTTCTACACTTGCATTGAGCAAAGTTCATGTTAGAATCTGAATGTTCTCTCATTTTCATCGGAGATGAGGCTCCATGAAGTTTATTTGTATCTTTTTTCATGACAATTTAGTTGAAATGGAAGTGTAAACATGTGATCCAGTTTTCTGATGATCTTTTGATATAATACTACTCAAAAACTTAGGTGGTGGAGATTCTTACTCGTAGTTTGGAAAGTGAGTCAAATTTACATAAAAGGGTGGATTTATTCTTTCTTGTGGATTCCATTGCCCAGTGCTCTCGAGGTTTAAAAGGTGAAGTGCTTGTTATTTTTAAGTTGTATGTCCATGTGGTATATGTGATGTTGATCTCCAGTTCCATTTTCAGGTGATGTTGGTGGTATATATCCATCCGCTATTCAAACTGTACTGCCACGCCTACTTTCAGCTGCTGCTCCTCCTGGAAGTTTTGCACAAGAAAATCGGAGACAGTGTTTGAAGGCAAGCCTTGGAAACTTTTAGTGCATTTTGCCCTTGATTTTTTTTTCCCCATTCATGTGTTACCCTTTGATATTTATTTTATAGGTTTTGAGGCTTTGGCTGGAAAGACGGATTCTTTCAGAATCTATTATTCGCCATCACATTTGGGAACTTGATGTACTTGGTGGTTCATCTTCTGCTGGCCTATATTCTCGTCGCTCAGCAAGAACAGAAAGAGCTTTAGATGATCCTGTTAGAGATATGGAGGGTATGCTTGTGGATGAATATGGAAGGTTTGAGTCCTGCTATTTTATCTTTTGCTTGTAGAGTAGTTCCCAAAATCTGTACACCTGTTTTATAATGAGATGGTTCTTGTTGCCTCAGCAATTCAAGTTTCCAGCTTCCGGGATTTTGTATGCCTCGCATGCTTAAGGATGAAGATGATGGAAGTGATTCTGATGGAGGGTTTGAGGCTGTAACCCCAGAACATTATACTGAAGCTCCTGAATATCAGGAGTTTACTCCTGCAGTAGAGAAGCACACACATATCTTGGAAGATGTTGATGGTGAGCTTGAAATGGAGGACGTGGCCCCCTCTTGTGAGGCTGAAATGAGTTCAACAAGTGGCATTGGTGGAGGTGATGCTGCATGTAACTCACACAATCAGCTTGAACAGTGCTTACCACAGCCCTTCGCCCCTCCTCTTCCACATGATGTGCCACCGTCATCACCACCATTGCCATCGTCACCACCACCACTGCCTCCCCCACCTCCTCCTGCTGCACCACCCTGTTCATCTGCAATGCCTGATCCTTATACTAGTCGTGTTGATTCAAATATTTATACAAATTCACATGTATGTGCCCATAGTTGATCGCATTTTCTTTCACATATTTGTTCAACTTTTAGTATTAATATATAAAAGGTGGAATGTATTAGGCTCCACTTTCATTTCTGATTCAGATCAAATTTGCAGGATTTGCAAGATGACTTGAGACAACCTTTGACTCAGAATTCTGTTCCATCAAGAATCAACCCTTCATTGTCCAATGCAGTGCCTTGTCGTACACCTGAATGTAGAGATCAGATGCAGGTGCAGCATTGCGACTCAACCAGATCTTTCAGCAATTATCCTGTATGTCAATCAAATAATGTTCATCGCACTGATGGTCCTAGCTTCCATCATAAAGCATATCCTCCAAGGCCGCAACACCCTCCTCCCTCGAATCAGTTCTCTTATGTTCAGGCAAACCAACATGTGAAGTCTCGAAGAGAAATCCCACCCCCTTCCTACTTCCACAGATTCCAGCATTCACATGATTTTGATTGTGGAAACTTCTATAATAACCATGAAAGAATGAGACCTGGCCCCTATGAGCTTAATGATGGCTGGAGATTTCCTGCCCCCTTTCCTGGTATGTTTAGTATTTCATGAGAGATTGCAGGGATTAATGGAAGCTTTGTTCTCTACTGTGGTAATAATTGTTGCATCTTGTTGTCTGCCATCCACTATTTTTTCTCTACCCAGGTCCAAGATATCCTGACAAAGCCAAAGCATCCTATGCACCTGTTCCTTATGATGGTCCTCCACAGGAACCACCTAGATTACCGCATCAAGAGTGGGATTTTCATGCCCAGGGGATGTATCACAGAAACTTTATGCCTTCTAGACCCCCTCCTGAATGTGCAATTCCAGTGACAAATAGAGGTGCGTTAATTTTTCATGAGATCTTGTCAAGTTTGAAAATAAAACCACTATTTAAGTCGTGCACTCTCACCGTTTTCCCAACACTAAAAGAATTATTAATAATTGGAAGATCCCTTTCTTTTAAAAACTACATTGAAGTTCATGTTAGTACAGGCTATAAGAATTTGTGTCATGTTTCAGCACCGAGCATTTGGCGGCCAAGATGAGATTGTTATCATAGTGTTGGGATTGGTATGTAATCATCATATCTGCTTTGTTTTGCAACTTTTTTGGTGTATTTATAAATGCTATCATCTTATTGGTTTACTCGCTGCTTTATATTTGTTAGGAAGGATCCATTTTTTATCTGCTTTTTTGCGGCTTGTTCAAAAGAGTGAGTGAGTCTACCTGGTTCTATATTGATTTCTCCCCACGGATTTCATCTGGAAGAGGCTTTGCAACAGATGATTGGGGTGTTTTCTACTGAATGGGATTGTATATATGTATCCTGTCAACTTTTCAGCAAATGCAGAGAGTAGATGACAGCCATTAAGAAGGGTACGTGGAAGCTGTAACTTAACATTAGGCTGTCATGTATCAATTTCCAATTTTTATTTTATTGTCGGTATAATTTATTTATTGAAAGGCCTCAAGAGAAATTCTGTAAAAAAATTTACCAGGGTCATTGGTTAGAACTCGTAACTTCTTATCTGGTATACAAGGAAAATTAGATCAGACTTATTGGGGATTTCTCTCTGTGCGTGTTATTCAAGAGACATTTTTCAGCTTTAGTGCATGGTTGACGTTGCAGTAGTTTTTATGAACATGGTTAAAAAAGTTGGTTTAAAAAAAACTTTTCTAATTGTGATTTTAAAAATGCGTTCGGTTAAAAGAAATGTAAGATAGCTTTTGCTGCTTTTAAAATAAATAAAAAGCATGTGTTTATAAATAAAAAAATAAATTATTTTAATTTTAGCAAAATTACAATAAAAACTATTTAATTAATCAAGTAGGAGCTATATAATATTTATTTTAAAAAATATTTAGACACTTGTATAATAGCTTGATTTTGGGTAGATTATGGTTAATTAATCTGTGAAACTTGTAAACTTGTGATTAAATTTCAAGCATTGAACTACTGAACTTGAAATCGCTATCACAAAACCTTCATAGCCACCACGAGTCTCTACAATAAATTTCACCAGAAGTCTCAACTTGAAATGGCTATCACAACACCAAACTCCACCTGAACCATTCCATAGCATAAACCACTCTATTGTTTGAGCCTAGAACTACTGCTACTTAAAGAAATAATAAGCATTGAAAATTTTTTCTAAGATAGTACAGGGTATCAACATACTCTATACGTGAATTTAGCATAGGTCATTGATATTGACAGGTCCAAATGTTGAAAATCCTTTTAATAAAAATAATTAGCTAATTGGTTAAGTTTGCCCTTGCTTTTCAACTGGATCCCAATGTTTTTCAGCATCTAGATCGGCAACCATGACTTCTTCCTTGTAAATGTGGAAGCTACGTTTTCACGGGACCAAAGGAACAAAACTACGTGATGATATTCTAAAAAAAATCTGAGTAGTTTAAAAATAAGATTTATATGTCAATTACTTTATTGATTTTAATAGTCTGATTCATTTTTATTAATCAAGATAAATGGTGAATGGTAGCTTCAAAAAATTTCCTAGATTTAGAAACTTTCAAATGCTTAAATAAAAATTATTATAAAGAGAGTAGATTTAATGATATTGTAAAGAGATAGAGTTTTAATATATATATATATATATATATATATATATATATATATGTTAAAAAATATTGAGAATGAATCAAAAGTATCTCTAGAGCTCGAAGAATTCATGAGATATTTACAGCTCATAAATCTTGTAATTTTATGGAGATAAGAAACTGAGTTGTGATTTCTTTCTTATAGTATCATTAAAGAAAAAATATCCTTTACATATCATTAATGAGAGATAAATATTTCTTATATATTATTAATGTTGATAAAATAATGGTGGGTCCTTAGAGTACTTTTATATACCTAAAGATATTTAGAGATGAATATCATTGACCTTAACATATTTTTATATACCTAAGAGTATTCCATGTTAAAGGTTACAAGAGTAAATAAACGAAATCTTGTGGCCCAATACGGGGCCTAGAAAAATCACTAGTACCGTATCCATTTGAGATTGGAATGATGTCGAGCCTAGAGGTGTTGGGTCTGATAACTCACTAAACCCATTTGTTTTTAGCATAGTTTTGAAACCCGGCTAGGCCTGGCGGGTCGACCCTGGACCTGGCTGACCTGGGGCTAGAATCGGGTCGGGTTGAAGAAAAAACAGGGGAAGGAAAAACCCGATGTAACCCGGCAGGTTAACTTGGCAAGACCTGGTCAAGACTCGATTGCAAACCCATTGACTTTTTTTTTTTTTGTTAAAATAACGTTATTTTGATTATGTTAGGTATGATAGCTCGTCAAACCCATATATATTTGGGCTCAGCGCGTAGCAGAGCCCAAAATATTAGGTGTCAGAGCTTGCTAGACCCATACATACTTAAGCCAGCACTGAACCCAAGGGTAATAGGACTAACCGTTCACTAGGCCTATATGTACTTGGATTTAGCACGTAGTTTAACCTATTGATATTGAGTTATGATCTTGCCTTTGACATTATATATATATATATATATATATATATATATATATATAACACTTTAATCCATTGGTATCCCCTTAAGTCTTTGTGTATTAAATACCCAAAGATTTGAAAGGTTATCAGCTTTAATAAGATTTTTTTTTTACTTGAGAGTTGTATGTCCCATCAATGAGCGACTCTATACCTTTCTCATTGGATTTATTTGTCCCTTGTAGAACTGTTAGAGTTTATTATAGCCAAGTGACTTATTCTTATTAAAAAAGGTGTCATTTGGAAAATAAATTGGCGGTGTGCATTTAATGTGCTATTTGATTAGATTTTTAGAGATATATGATGCATGAAAGGTCATTCATCTAAATGTGAAGGTGAAAAGTTTTTCCATTAATAACTCTATTCATTATTGCTTCCATATTTTCTTTGGTTTTTACTTTGTAGCTTTTATAAAATAGTTTTGTTAGAAAAATCCCTAAGCTAGTTTTGCCCTAACCTGAAAGAAAATATCTTTATAGGTATTTCTTACCAAAATATTATTTCTTATTCTTTTTTTTTAATAGTAAAATAGGTCCAAAAAAGTTAAATATGTTCTTAGGGATATAAATACTACCGCAAACTCAAGTGAGGTATTCAAGTTCCAACCTGAAATTGAAGGAAGTAGTAAGGGAAATGAGTTCATCACATAAGGCCCAAGAACAAAAAGGAACCCTACTAATCACCTCTGGTAAGAGGAAAGTAGTTCTTTCTATTAGAGAAGTTCTTCTCTTAGTATTACCAGGGAACCTTAGGGGAGAGAAATATTGCCTCAAACCTTCAACGATGATGTGTCTAACATGTTAGGTATAGATGATGTTTATTAATGGTAAAAAACCAGGAGAATACACAACTCAAATGCCTACCGGGGCTGGGCATATAAACTAATTGACCCTAGGCTTTACCCATGGTCAATTTAAAATTACAGCCTTTTTGTACATATATGCGATGAAATATTCTCTCTAACTTAAAGGATTTGAGAGAGAAGTTTTTAGATATTATGGGCCGAGTCTAGGCCAGCTGCTCTTTAATAGGTGGATGACCGTATTAGCCTTTGATAAGTTTTTTAGGTTTGTCAAAATCAAGCCTCGAGTTAATACTTTTAAGACTTGTTATAATTTAGTTGCTGACACCACTGATGACAATGATATACATTAGTTCTTTATCTTTGTTAATAGACCCACAAAAGCAATGAAAGGAACCTTACAGGGCAAGCCTTTACGTGTTAAGAAATAAAAAGGGAGGTGACTGATAATAAGGAATACTAGGTCAGTTAGCCCTAACAATAGAATGCAACAAATATGAAGTTGTTCCTATTATTAAAGGGTACCTTCCTTTGATATGAACAATAAGCCTCATCTAAGCTTGGATGATGAAAAAACATGTGTTGTTTTGGCACCGGACTCAACCAAGCATGACATTAATGAGATAGACAAATGACATTACTAGGCCATGTTGCAAAGTATGCAAATTTCTTATCCTTTGTTTTTTATGCATCTAAGATCATTACTGACTTTCTTTTTGTGTTGGATTAATAGTTGCAAGGGAAAGAGAAACTTTAACTAAGTTTATAGAGAAAAATCCAAGAAGGTGGTCTTCATCTTTTAATTTAAGTGAAGGCAATCCTGGATAAGAGATAAAAGATGACCCTATCATTGTATATAAACTCTCTATTTTTTAAAAAACTATTCCTGAGAAAACAATGGAGGGATCCAGAATTCCTGTAGAAAAAACAGATAGGGTTAAGCTGATCTGACTCCTCTTAAAGTAATTATAGGCATTGTTGCTTACTTTAAGAGAAAAAAGGCCTTCGCCCCTATAAAGACTAGTATTTCATTCTCTTTTATAGAGGCTCATATACATAATTCCTCTATCTCCACTTGTAATCTTGGCTATAAAGGTAACAACTGTTTGACCATTTACCTAGAAAGTTCCTGAGGACTCTAAACAAAGATTTGAGGATACTTTTGTTAGCCTCGTTCTTGGTCAAACTCCTTTCAGTTTCCCTACCCTAATAAAAAAGGAAAACCAGACCATGAATGCTATTGTTAGTGGGAGATCTGACCTCTAAGTTATGAGGCAATTGAAGAGGGTTCTCACTATCCCTTTAGATAATTTAATGAAGTTTGATGAGCGCTACAACCATCATCTAGCCCTAATAGGAAAAATGACTTTTAGTGTAAGGAACTTCCTCATTCAAACTTCTTGGTTTAGTTTTATGACTATTGTTCTTAACAATTTTGTCTTTAATAGATTTTCACGATGTGTAACCATATTAAGAGGTTTTGAATGGCTGAGAGAAACCATGTAAGGGAGGTCATTGCTAAACATAGGGCATACTAGACTACCCTCCAATGACTTAGAAAAGATAAAGTTGTGGAGAATAAATAGAATAGCTTCAAGGTAGTCTATGACACGTTAAAAAAGAGTTTTCAAGGTGTTGTTCTTCAGTTGGTCTCCACCAAAAATAATTCTAAATGGTTTATAATGAAAGTCACTCAAGATAGGCTGAGGGTCGAGGGCTAAGCTCCTTACTATTAGAGAATAAGTCCATAGCTCTCAAGTATGACTAGAGGCTTTAAGAAATTCTCTTAAGAAGTTTTGTGAATTTTTAGAAGGTTTGTCACTTTATCTTAGACGGTCGAGGATAAAATCTCCCTTGCCATGTCTAACATGTTCTTCTTTAATTAATCAAGAGGGATGAAAATGGACTTCAATATTACTTTCTATCCATTTCTCATTCCAAACTTTGTTGATGTATTCCTTATTAAGGCTGTAACTGACTAACATGGGGAATATTTAGTTGAGAAGCTTGACTTAAATGTTTAAACCATAGCTCTCAATCTCCCTTCAGTCACGTAAACAATCCCAATCATGTGGGGTTTGTCTTTGTAGGGTTTGTCTTTATGTAATACTTATTATTTTATAAACTACATCTTTATATTTTATTTCTATATTAACTTGTGGATTCTACATGGGTCTAACATCTATAGTGAAAATTACATGCATGGTGCATTGCCTATATTTAGATTTTTTTTAAAAAAGTCTATATAGGTTTAACAATTAATAAAATATTTAAA